GAACAAAACTTATCTTTTCATAGGTGGTAAAAATATAGAGATGTTAGGTTTTAACAAATTTTATTTCCAAAAACCATGTTCAAGAGCCTAAAGAATGAACTAAAGAATAAATCAACAAAGCCACGATTTTTATGGGAAAAAAAATAACTTTATTGAAACATCAAGTGGAAAATACGCTATGTTCATGAACTGGAAAACTCAACTTCAGAGCTGTTGAGTCCCTTCAACAGATACATCACTTCAGTCTGGTTCCATTCAGTCTCAAGGGAGGATCGGCCTGGGGCTTGACAAGCTGACCCCCAAATCCCTGTAGACCGGCCAGGACCAAGCATCCACGACAGTGGTGGATGATCGTGGGTAGATAAAATGACCAGTGGGACAAAATGGGAAAACGGACTGCTGTCTTTTCAGTTGGGAAAAGGTGACCCCACGGCTGACTTGGGAAAGTCTCAGAAACGTGAGTGGAGACAAGTCGCAGAAGGATGAACTGTGATTCCGTTTACATGAAGCTCACGGGCCTGCAGAAACGAACACCACCCTATGTAGTAATAAAACTGTAAAGTTATGCAAGGAACAAGACGGTTTGTGGGGGGGGTGGGGAGGGTTGGCTCATCAAGGACTTCAAAGAAAAGCGGTCCCTAACATTCCTTTACTTAAACGGGGGGTGGGGGTGGTGGTGGAGGGAGATGCTCTTCATCCACCCATCTTACTGGCGTCATCACTGTCTGGCACAAAGCAAGAGAGCACGCTTCTATTAGCAGAGGGCAAGAATCGGCTGAGGGCTGGCCACGTGGTCCAAAGCGCCAGGCATACGAGGTTCCTAATGCAGTTTAAACTAAAGTTCAAAAATTAGCAATGGATCATGCCCCTTGGGGGAAAAAACAGGCAAGCAAACAGCTGGCATCTCCGTGGGCACAGGCAGGGTGTGTCCAAGGGGCGATCTCGGGGGATCTCCCTGGATGACATACAAGAGATCCCATCACTGAACCCTCCATTTGCTTCTCACCCCCACCCTCCCCCGGGCCCAATGCCCCTGCCACTTGGGCTCCTCCCTTGAGTGACTCACCTCATCACCCCCCCACCCCCGGGAGGTGCTACTTGGCAACAAGGTGTGTGGCGGGCCTCTGGGGAGGGACATACCCAGCTGCTCCTCAGGTAGACTGTCCTACTTTATGTACCAGCTGTGTCCCTCCCCCCTCCCCTGGTTCCAGTAGATTCTAAGCCTCTGCAGACCTTGGGGAGGGGGGGGCAGCAATTTCACCCTCATTATCTGTCATGAGAATAAGCCAGCCTTCCCTCTACTTTGCATCTTTTAAAACAGCATGGCTCTTTGATCTATTTTAATTGTTTTTATCCTTGTGACTGGTTCAATTTTCACTTCTTGGCTATCATTTTAGTGAGAATTTAAGAGGAAGCAAGAAGATAAACCGATTGGAAAGGGGAACCGATTATAAGGAACTATATGTGATCTCCTCCTGGGGGACGGACAACAGAAAAGTGGGTGAAGGGAGACGTTGGACAGGGCAAGATATGACAAAATAATAATTTACAAATTATCAAGGGCTCATGAGGGAGGGGGTAGCGGGGAGGGGAAAAATGAGAACCTAATGCCGGGGCTTAAGTGGAGAGGAAATGTTTTGAGAATGATGAGGGCAATGAATGTACAAATGTGCTTTACACAACTGATGTATCTATAGATTGTGATGAGTTGTATGAGCCCCTAATAAAACGATTGAAAAAAAAAAAAAAGATAAACCCCATGCCTTCTTACTTGCCCCTGGAAGTCTCTCTCTGGGCTACAAACATAATGACATGGGATTATGGGATGGGGGGGGAGGGGGCGTGCGAGCAGGTGTCTAACCAATATAGCTCCTGGAGAGGCCTCCGAGAGAAGCCCCCACTCAGAGATGCCAATGTCCTTGTAGTTTAATTTCGAATGCAGTGTGACCGGCTCCGAGAACGGAGTCCGCGGAAGAGTCACACCAACCCCAGGGGGTGCAGTCCCAGGGGGTGCAGTCCCAGGGGGTGCAGTCATCAGGGCCTCAGGGCAGCTCGATCGGTGTTTCTGCGGTGCTGGGTGGAGAGCCAGTTTGGGGCCCTCTGCACCACAGAGAGGTCTGACCTTGAGGAAGAGCGGCAGCCTGCGTCCTCGGCTCTGATGGGCTTAATGATGTGGCCTGGCTTAGTGACCACCTTGGGAGTGGTCAGCTTTTGGAAGGCCCTCGGGGTGTTCCACGTGGCTCCCACGGGGACCTGGATGGTCCTTTCGAACTGCTGGGGGTGGGAGAATGGGGGCGGGAGCACGTGCACCTGGTGGGCTGCCATGCTGGAGTTGCGCGTCTCACTGATGATCACATTTGGCCGGTTCCCGTCCTTGCGCGGAGGCCCCGCAGGGGAGGGCACGAGAAACCGGCACCGCTTTTTGGCTCTGGGCTGTAGGCCCACCCCACCCCACTCGCCCCAGCCGGGCAGCGTCAGGTCCACTGCCTTTGGCTGACTCTCCTCCACCACTGCCCTCTTCTCTTTCAAGAAGTCCTGGATGACATCATCCCCAGCAAAAGCTTCCATTATCACCTGCCTTTGGCCTCTCTCCCCGTCACCTTCTAACTCCTCTGGTGCCCAAGGTGTCCCTGGAGGAGGGCTCGCGGTTAGAAGGTTCTGTATATCAATGATCGGCTCTTTCCTTTGCTTCCTGGGGACGCCAGGCTGCTGATCTTCCGGGATCCTCTCTGCCCTCGGCCCCCCTGACACAGGCCGGGGAAGCTCCATGTCGGGAGGGTAGTTTTCTCTGCCCAGCTCTACCTTGGTCTGCATGCTCTCTGAGCTCTGGGTGGGGAGAACAGCCCCCAGGGAACTTGCCTCAGGCTTCTTCCTGGACGGCCTGCCTCGCTTGCTGAGTTTCTGAGACAGCGCCCTCACCTCAGACACCACCTCCTGGTGGCTGGTGTCCCGTCTTGCCTGGGGGCCCACAGGCTCAGCGTCCTGGCTGGGCTCCCATCTTTCCTGAAGGGGCTGTCTTTCCTCAGATTCTTTGCCCCACGTGTCTTTGTCTGCTCCGGGGCTCTCTTGTTCACTTGCTGAATCCTCAAGGGCCGCAGGCTCAGGAAGCAGGTCAGGGCCCTTCGGGATCCTGGCCTCTCGGGACTCACTGGTGGGGCGCCTGAGCATCCAGGGGTTGGACCCCGTGGGGTCCGTCTGAGCTTGGTCCACGTCAGGGGCCAGGAGTCCACCCTCCTCCTCTTCCTCGCTGTCGGGAGCCTGGTGTTTCTGCATCAGCTCTTTGTTCCTGGCCAGCTGGTCCTGCCTGGCCTGGCGTGCCTTGGGCTCATACCTGGTCCGGATCGCCAGCGCCCTGGCCCGTTTCCCTCGGCTCTGGTGCTTCAGGCCCATCCGTTCCATCACGCGGGCCGTCTCCCTTCTGTCCAGCTCTTCCAGCGCCGAGGGGGCACTGCCCTCTGGCAGAGGCCCACGCTCTCCGAGCGCCTTCTGGGCCTTTCCTTTCTTCACAACTCTGCGATGCTTTTTGCTTTTGATTTTCTTTGCTTGCCGAGCCTTGGCCTCATAGTAGGACTGCAGGGCCCGGGCCCGCTGAAGCGCCGCCCGTCTTGTCCTCGCCTCCTCCAGGCTCATGGCTTGGCGAGCAGCCCTTTCCACGGGCGTCAGCAGAGGGTCCCTCACTGGCTGCCTATGCTGGTGGAGGGTGTGGAAAACCTCTCGCTCCAGGGGCGTCTTCGCCGTCCAGCCCCGGAGCATGTGTTCGAGGGGGGCGGAGGCGGCCGGCTCCTTCTGCAGGGGAAACACCAGCTGCTCTGCCTGCCGGGCCTTTAGGACGATGGGCTCCCATTTGGAGAGAGCCTGGGAGCTCTGATGGAAGGCCGCCTCTCTCTGGACCCGTGCAACCTCCTCTTTGCTAGCGGGCAACGCCAGCGTCTTCACCTGGACCCTCTTCAGCTGCCTTTTCACTGTGGCCAGAGAGGAGGCTGGCTCAGCGGCCTGCAGCAGATCAGCAAGGGCCAGCTTCCCTGCCGAGCCAACGCTGAACTCCGACGCGTGCATGCCGGCCTCTGATCTCTCGGCCAGTTTCCACCTCCCCTTCCCGCCCAGGGAGCTGATGGCCTCCAGCAGCTTCCAGTGCTTCCTCTCTCCATCGCTGCCGGCTTCGTCATCACTTGGGCTTGGGGGGCCGTCTTTGGGCAAGTCCTTGAGTTCTTCCTGCGGGCGCCAAGCCAGAAGGTCCTCCGCACTCATGGTTGCAGCCTCCTGCTCACACAGCGGTCCTACCCACTGCCTCCTGCTGTGCACGGGTGGAGGAGAAAGCACAAAGACCCGGTTCAAACCCTGCTCCTCCATCAACTACCCCATGATTCCATCCCATCCGCTCTCAGGGCGGTCCATTTTCCCACCCACCAAAGGAGGAGGGTGGCTGCTGCCCAGGGCAGCTCCAGAGTCGGTGGCCCCCCTGTTGCCGACATCGTTCTGGCTATAAGGTGCTCCCACCTGGAGAAGCCATACCCTGGCTCACCAGGAGGCTCCCCAGACCTGCCTTCAGGGGCTCCCACCCACCCAGACAAGGCCAGAGGGCAGAGGACACCGGCCCCCCGAGCCCTAGGGCATTCTCTGGTTTCCAAGCCTGAGGATCAGAGGGCCAGGAAGCCAGCAGCTCCTGGCAAGGAACAAAGGGCCAGAAATCCAGCCCAGGCATTGGGCGAACAAGTGTGGGTGCTTTATTGGTCTGGTGAGGGGTAGTGAGGCTAGCCAGGCGGCCCCTCCCAGATCCTCCCAAGCACATGGGGAAAGCAACTGAGGCAGAGCCCCAGGCCTAGACACTAGGAGTCCAAGCAGAACAGGGACACGGCCGCAGTGAAGGATGGAGCTGGGGATGCCCAGTGGAGCCCAGCTCTCTAGCTCCAGCTGGCAGGGGGGACAGGGGGCAGCAGCCTGGTTTATTCTGGGGCAGCCCCTGCTTGTATTAGGAGCTGGCCCGCCCCAGCACAGTTCTAGCTCATCTGTGAGTCCTTGCATCCGCGGAGGTCTGGAAGGAGATCCCATCCCCAGGCAAGGGGGAGGCCAGGAAGGGCCAGAGCCAGACAAGAGCCCAGCGGGGCCCCAGGGCCGCCTGCAGGTTGTGGCAGAGGCCCAGGTCATAGTGGTGCTGGCCCCGGGCCCACTCCCATGTGGTCTGGCCTCGAAGCAGCAGCATCCCGTGGAAGAGGAGCCCCGCCCCGCACAAGAGCACCCCCGCCATGCACGTGTCCATCACGAAGGCCAGGGCGAACTGCACCAGAGACACCCTACCTGCGAGGAGAGAGCAGAGAAGGTGATGGGCAGCAGCCAGCCCGGCCCCCAGAGGCTAGCCCCGCCCACCCGCCTGCCCGCCTGCCCCCGCCTTCCACCTCCTCCAGGGCCAGCCAGTATGCTGTGCGGGGGGATGGAGCACCCCAAGCCCAAGCAGACACAGCGGCTGCCGGAGTGACCCCCTTCCCATTCTCAGACATCTCACACTGGCACTCGATACTATGGTTATGACGGTGGGCAAGGCAGATGGCATCTCAGCCCTCAGGGGGCTCACAGACAAGACACCCACCCGCACTGCTTTGAGACAGTGGAAAGTGCAGTGCCCCGGGTCCTGTCTGGCCTCAGCTCACCAAACCACACTTGCTGCCGCCAAGTCAATTCTGACTCATCGTGAGCCCACAGGACCGAGGAGAACTGCCCCTGTGGGGTTTCTGAGGCTGTAAGTCTTTGACGGACGGAGAGAGCCTCCTCCTTCTCATGCAGAGTGGCAGGGGGCTTTGAACTGCTGACCTTGCCCACTCAAAAACAAACAAAACGTCCCACTGCCCTCGAGTCGATGCCGACTCATAGCAACCGTGCAGGGCACAGTAGAACCAACAGCCGAGAGTTTCTGAGACCGTTCTCACGGTTGGCACGAATTACCTACTGAACGCGTGGCTTACAAACTCGTACCCATAAAGCACGCTATCAACCCCTGGAAACTCAAAGGCCAGTACTCGCCTGGGGAGAGAGTTGGGGCGCAGGGAGGATGAGGAGAGGAGGAAGAGTAGAAACGGGAGTGGGATGTATAATGGCTCGCTGGGGGACAGCAATCAATGACATGAGACCAAATGGGTCTGCACTGCTGTGGGGAAAACAGATTCGCACAGTAGACATTTGTCCAAATCACAATAAAAGCCTTAAGAGAAAACCTGATGCCCCATGACAGGAGCTATGGCAGGTTTTGACGCACAAGGATCCTCTAGGGCAGAGCAGAGCTGTCCCTGTGGGTTCCCGAGACTGTCAATCTTGACACACGTGGACAAGCCTGTTCTCCTGAGGAGTGGCCACCTGGTGGGTTCCCAATGCTGACCCACCTCCTGGTTGGCTGTTCAAGGCGTAGCCCACTATGCCACCAGGACTCCTTGGGGGCGGGGCAGACCACTGCCACCAAGCCAACAGTGCCGTGAAGCGAGTGCTCAGAAGAGCCATGTGCACATGCCTGTCCTTGATTGAGTGTGACAGTTTGATCACAAGGTGCAAAACATTGAGGGAGTGACCAGGATGCGGCACAGAGACAGGAAGTGGGCACACGCAGTTGGGGGAAAATTGCTTGACACACAGCTGCCACAAACCTTCAGTTTGTTTTTCTTTTTTTTTAAAAAAGGACAAACCGCCATTATCTGCACCGCGCAATAACACGAGGTATGCGTGCATAGGAAATGTCTGGAATGGGCAAATCATCGAGATGGAAAGAGCCCTGGCGGGGTTCGTGTGGGGCTGCAAACCCCAAGGTCAGCAATTCACACCCACCAGCCGCTCAGTGGGTGGGAGAGGGGGCAGGGGGCCTGGGAGCTGGAGCCCACTCAATAAGGGCCATCTCCTCGGACTCCAGCTCCTTCACCATCCCTAAGCTGCCTTCCTGGCTCTAATTCCCACAAGTCCCATCAAATTCCCTCCGTGCTTCCTGCCCCCAACTCCAGCCTTGGTTACGCTCCTCCCGTTACTTAGAATACTCCTCTCACCCTCCCTTATGGAGCATCCCACTCAGCTGGCACTCCCTGGAATCCTTCCTGGGTTCTCCCACTCAGAAGTCAACCTGGGGTGAGGAGGCACCACTTGAGCATCAGTCTGCCCTCCTCCCCTCTTAAGGGCTCTGGGACAGAGGCGCCAGGGCACTGCCCAAGAGCCAGTGGGAAAGCCTTTCCTCCCCAGTCCAATGTCAGGCCTCCCTGCTCACCTGTGAACAGCATAAGCCAGGGGAGGAGGAGGAGTACAGTGGCTTGGAGGGGGCTGTGGGCTCGGAGCAGGGCCAAGAGTGCAGGGCCCAGCAGCACAGAGACGTGGAGCAAGACCCCTGCAGTGTGAAGCAGCAGGCACAGGAAGGGCCGGTAGTTGTGGAAGCCAACGCAGCAGCCCAGCAGGCGGCAGTGGTGGTCTCGGCGAAGGATGCAGACGCGGCAGGCAGAGCAGTGCCCACTGCGAGGTGGCACCTGGCTTTGGCACTGGTAGCAGTAACTGCAGGAAACAGAACCACAGGGTCAGTGCCCCCAACAGCACAGAGTGTCCCAAGTCATGCCCAGGGGTAGCCCCTGAAACCCTCCCGGAAAAGCAGGGGCAACCAAGAGTCCCTGGTTCTGCACAGCAAGAGCAAGTGGAACAAAAAGATTCCCCAGGCTCTTCCAGTCCTAAGATCCCAGGTCCTAAAATCTCCCTCTGCCCTCTAACACCCTGGGGCAAATGGCTGGCCTTCAAGTCACTCTCTCTAAGACACCACAAATCAGTCCCTCCTAACAACCCTAGTGGCGCAGTGGATTACCAGTTGGCCTGCTAACTTCAACATCAGCAGTTCAAAACCACCAGCCACTCCAAGGGACAACGATAAGGTTTCCTATTCCCATACAGATTTACAGCCTTGGAGATCCCAGGGGGCAGAGTCGACAGGATGACAGTAAGACTTCATCCAGTTTCACCCCAGGAACCAGAGAGACCCGTTAAGAACCTTCCTCTGCTGAAATCCCGCCAGGGACTTGACATCCCAGTCCCAGTAAAAAATCCAAAGCTTTCTGTGTCCCATATTCCTACACGTTGGGCCCCACTCTGGGGTCTCTCACAGACCCTCACCCTTACCCCAGCCCCTCCACCAACTCAACTCCAGGCTCCTGGATCTTCCCAGAACAGGCCTCCGGTCTCTCCTCTCTCCAGTCCCACTCTTCCTCGGGACCCTATTTAAAACTGCAACCCGCGCCTCCTTTATGGAAACCTCGACTTTTTGTTCGCAGACATTTATCATCTAACATTCGATACAATTTGCCTTTTTATTATGCCTATAGCATATGACTCCCCTTTGCCCCAATGCCATCTGCTCCGGATCAATTGTTTTATTACAGCCCCGGTGCCTAGGGGAGTGCCCAGGACACAGTGGGTGTCCCATAAAGGCCTGCGGGTGAATGAATGCGGCGACTCCCGGCTCTACCCAGAATCCCAGGTCCTAGCATCCAACCCTACCATCCGGGTTCCTAAGGCAGCCCGGTCCTCACACCGCAGGCCTGGGGCCTTCCCCCAGTTCGAGGCGCCCCCGCTGCTCCCCGCGGCCCCCGCGCCCCACTCACGCCCAGCCCCGGCCCAGCCCGCGGCCGGCCAGCATCACGCCCCGGATGCTGGGATCGGAGTGCAGGAAGAGCCCCACGTTGCCCAGCAGGTTGAGCAGCTGGAAGGCGGCCAACGCGAGCTGCAAGGCCCGAGCCAGCGGCCCCAGGGGCGGCGGCCCCGGGCCCAGCACCAGTACGTAGGCCAGCTCCAGGCCCACGGCCGCGGCCCACAACGCCGTAAGCGCCAGAGGCAGCCGCGCAGGGGGCCCCTCCGCGCCCCCCGCCGCCCACGGCAGCACCATGACCTGGGTCCACCCGCCGACGCTTCCCCGTAGCTCGCAGCTTCCGGAATGAGGCGGGGATAGTGGCTGACGGACGTCTGCTAAACCCAATAGGCGTGTCTCGGAGAGCCGCCCGCAGATGCAGAGACGTGATTGGACGGCCGTAAGAGCCCGGGAACGCTTTGACGCAAGCAGGCGTTGGAGCCGGGGAGGGCGTGACTTCGAGGCCGGCCTGCCGGCGGACGCCCCACCCACCCCGAGGAAGCCCCGCCCACCGCCGGGCTGGCCCGCGCGCCCGCGGGATTGAATTGCTGCAGCCGCGGTGGCGTCGGGGTTTCCCGGCTCAGCACATTCCCTCTCGCCCCGCAGCCGCCCGATATTAATAGTCCTGCCTCGCCCGCGTCCAGCTGGATCGGAGCCCCTGCACACGCTCGGGTGTCTCCTCTCGTCTCCCCAGAAAACACTCAAAACAGCTCCGTGCGTCTGGGTTTCTGACTTTGGAGTGGGGAAGGGCTCCCTGTTTCGCACCCTCGCGGCGCTGGAGCCAGGTCCGGAGGAGCCCCCCGGGACACCCCGAGGATCTGCAGCCCCTAGGATTGCTGTCACCTCCCCGGGACAGATGGGGAAGCTACATCTCAGAGGTGGCCCGTGGCTTTCCCAAGGCCACACAGCGCGCCAGCGGTGGCCCCGTGGCACGAACCACAAATCCACCAAGACCCACCCAGCACCCCCAATTCCGCAACCCCAGCGTAGCCTCTGGCCTGGCGGCGACCCGAGCGCCCTCGCCCCCAGTCGGCCCCACCCACCTCCCCCATATTTAGCGCGAACCCGATCCGGGGCTGGGCCGGGCCCTACTTAACGCGCCCCCCGCATTGGGGAGCGCGCGGAGCCGACCCGGAGCCCCAGCACGATGATGATGGTTATGCAGCCCGAGGGCCTGGGGGCCGGGCAGGGCCCCTTCGCTGGCGGTGGGGGCGGCGAGTACATGGAGCAGGAGGAGGACTGGGACCGGGACCTGCTGCTGGACCCGGCCTGGGAGAAGCAGCAGCGCAAAGTGAGTGCTCGCCCATTTCCTGACGGCAAAACTGAGGCCCGAGCAGCTAGTCGGTTTGTCAGCAGCAGGTCGGGGGCAGTCTGTCTTGAGCCCCGCGTGCCATTCCGCAGCGTGGGCCCTGCCCACCAAGCCTTTCAGCGGTCCCCCAGGGCAGGAAGGGAGGGCCCTCCTAGAAGGTTTTATCGTTTCTCTGGTCCTCACCCCAGGGTTCATTCGCTGAGCCCACTGCCCTCACTCTGCTAGGGAACAGGGGTTGGGCAAAGCCCAGGAGATCCGAATTGGGGGGTTCCAGGAAAACTGTGTTTCTCCCCACAGCTCTGCACCAGTTAAATAGTCCCAGACCCCACTCTAAAGACTTGTGGCCAGAGGACTACTACTGAATGTGGGGGTGTTGGGAGAGCTCTCTCAGCATTGGGTCCACAGTCACCTTACCCCAATGTTCAAATGAAGAAACTGAGGGTCCCCAAAGGAGACAGAGATTGGCCCTAAGTCCTATACATACTGCTAGGATAAAGGGCCCCTCAACCCGAGGCTCTTTGCCACTGCTTCTCGGGCCCCATCCCCCTCCCCGCCCCTGGCCCTGACCTGAGTCTGCTGAAAAGGGCACAAGTCAGGGAGGAGGGGAGCCCTGGGTCCCCTTACGCAGTAACCTGATTCCCTGGCCAGATGGACTCTGAGTCCATCTGAGTCCCCAAGTGCTGAGGCAGCGTCTTGGGGGGAAGAGACTAGGGTACTTGGGGCCCTTCCAGCCCAGCCTTGTAGGGTTATGGGACCCCTTGCCCTCCCCTCCGTAGGCTATTTTCACTCCCAGACTCTCCCCCAAGTGGCGCAGGTCAGGACCCCTGGTCTCCTAAAAGAGAAAAGAGCTGGGTTGGAGTGAGCAAACCTGGAGTCTGTCAGATGGGGTAGGAGGGTCACCCCAGCCAGTCAGTCTGCTGAAAGGGCAGGCAGCTGGCCCCAGTGGAAGTGGGTTAGATGACAAGAGATGGGGAGGGGTGAGGTAGAGGGGAGGGGGGGGAAGCAGAGCAGCTCAGCTGAGTCTTCTGGGGTGCCCCCAAGTAACACCTCTTCCCTCCCTTCTCCCGCCCCCGCACCCCCCCACCCAGCTCTCCTGCACCTGTCTCTAAGCACAGCTGTGGTCCCTGGTGAGGTCATCCTTTTCCCTGACTCCAGCTGTCCCCTGTTCTGGACAAGCCTGCCCCCTGTCCCCAGCCCCCACTGTCCGGACCTCTCCATGCTTCTCAGACACCACCGCATTCCAGTCTGTCACTTGTTTTACTCAATTAACATCACATCAGAAGGGTTCTTCCAACCCAACTCAACCCACAGCTACGCCAGTCGTTTCTCTGTTGTTCTTTGTTGTTTGATTGCTGGGTTGCTTAGGTAAACATCCCCTTGCGCTGCGGCAGGAGCCCTGGTGGGGTAGTGGTTATGAGTTGGGATGCTAACTGCAAGGTCAGCAGTTCCGAACCACCCACTGTTCCTCAGGAGAAGGACGAGGCTTTCTACTCTGGTAGAGTGACAGTCTCGGAAGCTCACAGGGCAGGGCAGTTCTACCCTGTCTTATAAGGTTGCTCTAAGTGCTCCGCTGCAGCCCTGCCCCATCTCTGCTGCTCCGGGCTTTCTCCCTCACCAGTGACTCCTCTGTCCAAACGCTTCACAGGGCCCTGGGGCCCTCCTACCTCCTGCCGCCCAACACTTGAGTCTTCTTTCAACCTTCCTTCACATACCTTCAGAAAGTCCAACTAGAAACGCGTGGTGGTGATGGAAGCCATGCCACTGGTCTTTCAAGAACTCCCAGGATTACCCCTGGTTTCAGCAGAGCTTACAGGCTAAGAAAACCTGCTCCCCAAAAGATTAAAACCCCAACCAAACTCACTGCCATCAAGTAATGGTGCCAGAGTGACCCTAGAGGACAGGACTGCCCCTGGGGGTTTCCAAGACTGTAACTCCACAGGAGTAAAAAGTCCCGTCTTTCTCCCTCAAAGCAGCTGCCGGTTTTGAACAGCCCACCTTTCAGATTGCAGCCCAGCGGCGTTTGGAGCATGGTCACTGTTTTGGTGCCAGGGACGCAGCAGGGAATGAAATGAAGCCATGGCGGAGGCCAGAGCAAATGCGTCTCTAGCTAACGCCTTCCTTTCTCGCCCTGGTCCCTGCCTGGTCTGCCCCCTTGGCTGGCCTCCCTTCTCCTCTGCCAAAGGCTCATCCTTCTCCCCACTGGCCACACCTCTGAAGTGCAGTTTGCCCGACTCTCTCCTCTGCCCAAAGCTTTGCCGACCCCCTGTTGCCCTCAGGATCAAGTTCAAATCCCTGGCTTAGCACTCCACATGGACCATGACCTGGCCCCTGCTGCCCCTCCGGCCTGCTGCTCCCTGCTGACACCCCAACTCCCCCAGCTCCATTCCAGCCATATCGTAATCCCATGGTCAGTAGGAGCAACTGTTTCGAGCCCCAGTAATCACCCTATGTAGGGTGTCCTTGTCTGCCCTTGACAGTCTGAATAGCTCAGGCTCTTCAATTAAAACTGAGAGCAGACATCCTCCTTCTCCATGGGGCCCCACCTGATGGGGGGACCACACCCCTGAAGTCACCAGCAGGTCTCTCCTAGCACTCCTCAGGCCACCACATTCCTTCGATGGACTATGAGTCCCTGTAAGGCAAGGATTCCAGCTCATTCAGTGTCATGGGTGGTAAATGATGGAGCGACACCCCCCTCTCCCAATTCAGCCTCCACCCAGACCTGTCTTTCCTCATGCCCAATCCAGACCCCAATCACCCTAGACTGGGTTGGAAAGGACTGCAGAGAATCTAACTCCCTTCTCCGGTGTTTGCACCCCAGCCCCCACTGACACACCTCCAGTGACAGGAAGTTCACCCCCTTACCCTACCAGTGGCAGCTCTGTGTGTATGTGAAGTGGTGTCTTCCATCCCTAGAGACAAGGGCTCTTGGAAAGCTGGTCTGAGGATGGTGAGGGGAAGAGCCCAGCTGACTTCTGGTCATGCGCGCGCGCGCGCGCGCACACACACACACACACACACACACACACACGAATATCTGCTTTACGGTGGGGAATTCTCGAATCCTGCCAGGTCAGAGGAGGAAGGACCAGAGACATCATGGAGTTTGACCCCTTCCCTGTACCAATGGGGGAAACTGAGCCCCAGACAGGGCAAGGGGTTGGCTCCAGGTCATGGCGAGTGAGCAGCTCAGCTGGGATGGGTGGCCCACCATGCCCACCGGAGTGCTGCTGTGCTTTGCTGCAGCTCTCACGCTGGCACACAACAGCATGAAGCGCTGCCGGCCCTCGTCGTCCTCGCCACCACCGCTGTGTCATCATCTCCCTGAGCAGCTTCCTCTACGGAACCCACCTCGAGGAGGCAGCTCTGCTGCAGGTGTATTTTGAGTGACTTCCCACAACCAGTGGGCTCATCTTCAGCATTGCCTTTGACAATGCCCCACAGCTCTCTCTCTCAGACGGTCACTAGCTGAGTGTTTCAGAAGCAGATGGCCAAGTCTTTGATAGGTTACTGGAAAGCATGCACCTCCCTGTCCCCCCATCCGCCTACCCACACACTAGGTCGTCTGTCCCCCCTCGCCCCAGATGGATGCTGAGACAAACCGAGGGACGAGGGAAAGTTGTGGCTTCTAGAAACCAGGTGTGACTAGTGCTGAGCTCCCAGCTGATGCTCTCCTTGGAATCTCCTTGCGCCCCACGAGGTGCTAAAGACCCAGACACACAGCACTTCAGACAAAATGCTCAGGGCCAAATGGTAACCAGAATCCTTCCCACTTTGAAAAGGCAGACTCAGCTGCCCAGGTGCTTGGGGCAAGCCGAGGCTGATGTGTTATCCAGGAAAGGCACCCCAAGTTCAAACTGAGACCTGTCTGGCTCTGGGCCCCATTTCTCCCCACGCAGGAGCCCTGATGCCATAGTGGTGGTTACACATGTGGACTGCTAGCCACAAGGTCAGCAGTTGGAAGCCACCCGCCGCTCTGCAGGAGAAAGAGGAGGCGTTCTGCTCCCGTAAAGAGTTGATGGTCTCAGAAGCCCACAGGGGCGGTTGTACCCTGCCTTCCGGAGAGTCAGAATCGACTTGACGGAAGTGAGTTGGATTTTCAGAGTTAGGGCCTGGCCTGGCATGCACAGCAAGTTGGTGGCTGAGCTGGGACCTGAATCCAGGTTCCTGGGGTCCAGAGACAGGCCCTGACCAAGGAGTTAAGACCCCAGCCCCAGACCTCAGGTTCTGAGGGTTGCCCTCTGCCCTCAGACCTTCACGGCCTGGTGCAACTCGCACCTACGCAAGGCGGGCACCCAGATCGAGAACATCGAGGAGGATTTCCGTAACGGACTCAAGCTCATGCTGCTCCTAGAGGTCATCTCAGGTGAGGAGACCTGGCAGGTGCACAGGGACCTGGGCCCAGGAGGAGCCGTGGCGGGGGACAGTGGGGGCAGCCAAGGGCTGGAGAGGACTTGGTGGGGCTGGGGGAACCTAGCCTGCTGCCGTCCATGATCTTTGACCCTCCCCTCCTGCCTCTTACGCCCAGGAGAGCGGCTGCCCAGGCCAGACAAGGGCAAGATGCGCTTCCACAAGATCGCCAACGTCAACAAGGCCCTGGACTTCATCGCCAGCAAGGATGTTAAGCTGGTATCCATCGGTGCTGAAGGTGAAGACTCAGGAGGGGGGCCCCGGGGTGGGGGTGCGGTGTGTGGCATTCCCAATACTACGTGCCTCAGTGTCCTCGTCCCAACAGTGGGAGCACACGTCACTGGAGGGACTCTAGGAAGACCACACCCACTGCCATTGCTGGCTTCTGCGACCCTCAGGGACACACAGCCCCCGTGAGCTTCCTAGGCTGGGGCTCTTTGTTGTTTTCTCATGACTATGGGAATTTCCGAGGGAAATTAACAGGCTCCAAGTCAGGCTCAGTAAACATTAAGGATGCAATCCTTTTGTTCACAGTGCTGCCCCCTCTTCTTCTTTTTGTAATTATTGTTTTTAATTGTGGTTAAAAAACAGACCCAACAAAACACTTTCCAATTCAACCCCTTCTCCATGTGTGACTCGGCGCCATTGCTTATGCTCATCGGGTGCACAACCATGACCGATATCCTTTTCTACCGTGTTGCACCCCCATTGACATCAAGTCCATCCCCCCATGCAACAACTCCGTCGCCTTCACCCATGGTAACCATGGGTCAAGTTGGGCTCCTCTATTTTTCTCAGTCGTTTTCTTGATAGAATAGTCACATAGTCATACACTTCCCTAGTTAAATCGCTTTTGAAAGAGTTGTATATGCAGCATCACAACCAGTTCTAATGCTCCCTCGCTGTCCTGCATTCGTTGATTGCTCCCCCAATCTCCTCACCCACCCCACCCCCACGTCCACATCCCCCGTCAGGTCAGTCATCATCTCTGTGCACCCACTCCTTCTGTGCTTCACAAACCGGGAAACCCAGCAAGTAACCATAAAAAAGAAAAACGAAACAAAATGGTAAGAAGAAGATAAGGATAAAAATAAAGGGTAAGAGAGGAAAGAACCCACCATCAACATTTAAAAAGCCAGAGAGGAAATTCCTGTTTGGAACGAGTGGAAACGATATGGCGCCTAGAGCAAATTCAGGTTGTGTCAAGAGAGAGGTCAACTGACCAGGTATCAGATGATCCCGTGGTTCCATCCACGGAAATCAGTCAAGTTGACAATCGTCTCTTGTCTGATAGTAAAGCTGTTTGGGTCCCTCCCCTGTGGCCGGAGGGGGTCTGCCAGAGGCTTTATCTACTAGCTACTCTACAGACGGATATCGGGCTCCTAGCTCCCTACAAATTGGGTGTTCACAATTTAAGCTCTGATACTTTCCCCTCCATCATAGGTGGATTTAGTGACCAACATCTCGTGATCACCCAGGCCGGTGTGCTTCTTCCATGTGGACTTAGTTGACGGCTCACTTAGATGGGTGCTTGTCCCTTGCTTTTTTTTTCTCCCTGTTCTATTGGCACAGAATCCACACCATATAATTCATCCGTTCAATCATGCAATCATTATCACAGTCAATTTAAGAAAATTTTCCGCCTGTAACTATGAGAGTAGTAAGCCCCATCTTTCTCTCTCGGAGAGGCTGGTGGTTTTGAACTGCTGACCTTGCAGTTTGCAGCCCAACGTATAACCGCTACGCCACCAGGGCGCCTTTTACTGGAGGGCCTGGAAGGAGCAAATGGGCCCTGGCTGCTAGCTCTGGGAAGGGGGACGAGGGCCAGAGGGCAGAGCAAGCGGGTCAGTGAGCAGAGGCCCTGATGCCAGGCAACCTGCCCTCACCCCCACCCTGCAGAGATCGTGGACGGGAACCTGAAGATGACCCTGGGTATGATCTGGACCATCATCCTTCGCTTCGCCATCCAGGACATCTCCGTGGAGGGTGAGTGGTGAGGAAGGAGTTGGTGAGGGGCGGCCAGCCTACATCCCTCCCCGTCTAACGCCCCCACATCACTACCCGCCTCCCCGAACCCAGAGACCTCGGCCAAGGAAGGGCTGCTCTTGTGGTGCCAGCGGAAGACGGCTCCGTACCGCAATGTCAACGTACAGAACTTCCACACCAGGTCTGGTCAGCAGACGCCATGGTCCCCAGCCCCCTCCTGCCAGTGCGGGACACATCACACAGGGGAAGCAAGGGGGGGTCACAGCCGAGTCCTGGGGAATATCAGCAAATTGGAGGCACTGAGTCCAGGCTTGTCAAATTGAATAGAATTGCATCTAGGAGGGCTGGGGGAGACTTCCTGGAGGAGGAGGTATTTGAGACGGTGTGGGGAAGGCATTCTCACCAGTGGGTATCTTGTGAGCAAACACCTGCAGCCGAAAACCTCTAAGTCATTGCCCCGGCCTTCGCCCAAGGCATTAGAGGAGGTGGCTTCAGTCTGGCAAGGAAGAGTCTCAAACGCTAGGCTGAGGAGTCAGTACTTGGCTGCAGATGCCAGGAGGAGCCACGGGAGGGTTGAGGGTGAAGGATGCGATAGGAAAGGTAGGTAGGCTTTTGTAGGCTATGCTGATGGGGGCTAGCGGAGGGGGCAGAGCTTCAGTTTGCAACCCATCCCCCTTCTCCTGGATTAGCTGGAAGGATGGCTTGGCCCTCTGTGCGCTCATCCACCGCCACCGCCCTGACCTCATCGACTATGCCAAACTGCGCAAGGTACACAGAGCCCTGCCACCGCCAGCCCTGACCCTCCCACTTCTGCTCTGCCCCGACCTTTCACCTGTCCCCGCTCACACCCACCCAGGATGACCCCATCGGCAACCTGAACACTGCCTTCGAAGTGGCAGAGAAATACCTGGACATCCCCAAGATGCTGGATGCGGAAGGTGAGAGGGCCTGGCCCGGGGCAAGGACTCCACGTACCCACCATAGTGCCCTCTCCTCCTCCTCCTCCCTCTCCAGCCATGCTCTGCTCCCTAGCCCAGAGTCCATCTTCCAGGAACCCTTTGTCCTGCACCCC